TCATGACATTGACTGCAATTTCCCACAGTGTAACAGCTCTCTTCCCACTTCCTCCCTGTAATCTCTTCCCTGTGTCCTTCCCTCTCATGCACTCCTGTACTCCGAACTATCTCCCTGTGCAAACACTGCCCTTCTGTTCTCCCATGATTGATCTCTCCAAGGAATGTATCTACCTAATGTAAATGTTCAGCTCATTTGCCTTTTGTTTAGCTGGAAGCCACAGGTGTGGGTTCAATTCCAGACCTGAAGGGCAGCTAGGGGCCATAGTGTCAGTGGTTCTACTAGGCTCTATCAGACCAGCAAACCTGGTCCCTTTTTTCTTTTCTTTCTTTTAATGATTTTGAGTTTTGTGCCACATTGTTCCTCCCGCTCTATCCAGGATCTCCTGCCCTGATCCCCCTCTGAGTGGTTGACAGTAGTAGCCAGACATCATGTAGTTCTTCTGGTCTCATGGTCAGATAGACGGAGGATCGCATGGTCTGCCAGTGCCTTGGACTGATTGTTGCCGCATGTCTTTGGTTTTCTTCATTCTTCTTTGCTCTGGACCAGGAGCGACCCATTGCTGCATTTAGATGGCTGCTTGCAAGCTTTTAAGTTCCCAGTTGCTACTCACCAAAGTGGGATGTGGAACAATGTTTTGTATAGTATGTTATACCAATTAAGTTTGATGTTGGTGTGGACATGTTTAAGGTTCTGAGGTTGATTGGAATCCTAATGGCAAATGCTCTATAGTGTCTCTGGGCCAAGCCTTGCTCTTAGTCCTTCACATCTGTGAACTCAGTGGTCCCTGGGTGGCACAGATGGAGAAGCACTCGGCTGCTGTCTGACAGGTCAGCAGTTCAAACCGACCCAGAGGTGCCTCAGGAGACAGGCCTGGCAGCCTGGTTTTGAAAGGTCACAGCCTTGCAAAGCCCATGGAGCAGTTCTCCTCTGAGGTCACCATGAGCCGGAAGCAACAGCACTAATAGTAACAAAGCCCACGAGCTCAGCTAGTCCTTCACATACTGCTGTTAGGTCCATATGGTTACTGGTAGCCCCATCTTGTAAATGAGGACCCAGAGGCATCAAGCGACCTGCCCACAGTCACTCAGCCAGTGAGTGGCACAGTGGGTTTGCAGACCCAGGAGGTCTGGCTCCCAAATCAGGCTCCTGGACCCCATGCTGTGTGGCTTCCTTTGGAGTTGTGGCTTTTTTCATCTAGTCATTTACCTCATTGCTATTTAGTCAATTCTGACTCACAGTAACCCTGTAGCACCCTAGAGGACAGAGTAGAACTGCCCCATATGGTTTCCAAGGCCGTAATCTTGAGCCATCTACTTCTAAAGTGATACCACCTTGGAAACCCGAGGAGGGGTTGTTATGA